TCAGTCAAGACACGGCATCACTGGCAAAACTGTCTGACAGCAAGCATATTTCTCAGTAGCAACCTTTGCTTCTTGAAAAATAATTTTATATTTCTCAGCAGACAGGGACACTTGCTAAATATTCCTAGGAAACCCACTGCCTTTTCCACAGGCATCCTCTGTACCTTATTTGGGGGCCAGTGACTTGATCACTGACATCTGGTTTTCTAACGTCACCGAGTGAAGAAAAGACCTGTGCCAACAGGACCCAAGATGAGCTGATCCTCATGGTTTTGTTTTTGTTTTTGTTTTTTTTTTCTTTCTCTTATTCCAGGTAAACTCTACAGCTAAAAATCAGCAATGTACCCCTTTCGTGGAAAAACAAAAAACAAAAAACAAAAAAATCTTAATGAGACGTACTTAACATGCAAACCATTCACCCATTTAAAATGAGTACTTCAGCGTATTTCCTATGTTTACACGCTCGTGCAACCATGGTTAACAATCAAATTTTAGTACCTGTTCATCCCCCGCCAAAGAAACCCTGTTGGTAGCCATTCCTCTCTTTTTCCAACCCCCACAGCCCTGGTTCTAGGCAGCCCTAAACTACTTCCTGTCTCTCTAGTACACTGCCTCTCTGTAGTAACCAGTTTTCCAAATGACGATTTCACATTGATGAGGTTGTCCTAGGTACGAAGCCAAGACTCTTTCATTTCTTTCTGGGCCTCTCCTGTGTGACTCTGTAAGTATTCTGGAATTATTGTCAAGAAAAAAAAAGCTGGTTTCACTGTGAAGTGCCACCCTGATTCTGGGATTGTGTTAGGAGTAAGCATAGTGAAAGGGTTTTGTGAAAACCTGAATTCCCCAGGGAAAAATCATGGCCACATTTTTGAGGCCGCAGCTGTGCTCCCTTTTGGGTGGCACTGAGTTGGGTGCTTGAGGATTGGCGGTGTCTTGTGTGAGGATGCATCATGTGATGTGAATGTGGAGCTTCTGTGCAGGCGAGGCGGTGTGTGTTGTCAGGAGAGAGTTCCCGTTTACACAAGCCCATTCGCCGGTGTCCATTTCTAAAAACTAAAATCCTGCCCCACTCTACTCTGTCTGTACAGTGACTCCTCCACCCTCACCAGAGCCATTGATTATCCTCACTGCTCAGGTGGAGAACCTGAAGGGCCAAGGGGTGATCCCAGCTCCCGAGTTCCTGAATGAAAAAGTGAAAACATGAGCCCAGGAGTGTGGGCCTGTGCTGACACTGGCATCTACTGGCATGCTCTTAGTCGGGGTGTTCGCCACCACGCAGGGAGTCCAGCATTCGTGTATAAGCCCTAAGGAGGTCCCAGACACTGCCCATCGTTATAAAGTGGCCTCCGTGGCCACACAGCCCAGGGCAGTTATAGGCACATCCCCCCACAGACCGGCGTAGTCATCACTATGAAAAGCAGAAAGATCCCCAGGTGTTTGGATCAGCTCACACGTCCTTTTCTGTTTAATTTTTCAGTTCAGGGGAACCTGTGCATGATGAGCAGGTTTGGTACATACGTAAACGTGTGTCATGAGGGTTTGCGGCACAGGTTATTTCATCATCCACATAGTAAGCCTAGTATCAGTTATTTTCCTGATCCTCCGCCTCCTCCCACTGTCCACCCTCCAGTCGGCCCCAAGCTCACAGATTCTAAGAGGCCTGGGGGACCACACGGGCCAGTGCTGCCCACTTCAGCTGTGAAGTTCATTTGCTCAGCAGCTGGCCGGAGCACATAAGGATCGGTGGTGTCTTTTAGTAGATTTAGTAGTAGTATCTTCCCAAGCCCTAAAGTGCTCAAGCCCTGCCAGCTGAAAATGGTGAGGAGAGGGACAGGCAGGAACTCTGTGCAGCACTTGGGTGGTAGTCTGGTTTCCATCCCCTCATGGCAACTCGCTTGTGCATGCGGGTTGAAGACCCTCCGCCTCAACCCAGCCTCCTCCATGAGGAGACTCTCACTATTGGCTGGTTAGCATCATTCATGACTGAGACATCATCCACGGCTGGGGCATCAGGGTCATCATCCAAGGTAGGGAACCACTTTCCAGGTAGGACCTGATGGGAAAGGGTTCCTGAGAGCCTTCAGGTTACCCCCGCTGCTTGAGGGGCTGAAGAAGGGAGTATGAAATCAGAAAGAAAATGAAAACGTGTGTGAGGTTGGGTTTGTTCTTTTCAAAGTTTGTTGTCATAAAGGTAGGAACGGTCTCTCTGGGCTGTGAGGGTGCTGTGTTCATTGGAGATGATGTTTGCAGTACACCTGCTCTTTCCTGCCCAGGGAAACGTCAAAATCTTTGCTTTGGATTAATCAGCACTCCTTGGGATTATGCACAAGGGATGTAGGGCTGGGCATTGAGTGTCATCTCTAAAGGAAGGAAAGGATTTGTGGGAACATCTCTCTCACAGGCATTTACTTGAACTTAGAGAAAAAGTTCTGCTCTGTGCCAAGGGTAAATTGATTATCACCCTCTGAACTTTCAAGGTTTGTTAGAGCACATTTATGTTTCTGTCCTCTCTGTGGGTTTAAAGGGGTCTCCCAGGGGTGGATGGCAGAGTGAATGTTCACTCTGGGCCTGCTGGCACATCTCCAATCTCCTGGGAAGGCGGGAGAAGTCTGACCTTGATCACATTTGTAGCTTCCACTTACCACCCCTACCACAGATTCTGAGATGAGGCTTCTTTCTCTCCAGTTCTCTAATTTTTGGGGAAACCAAGAGTTCCTTCCCACAGAAGATGGCATTACACTATTTCCTGTCTTCAAAAATCAGGCTTCCGTTGTTCTCTAAGTTGATATTTATAAGTTAAGTTCTGGACCTTTTATTCACAGATTGTTAAAAATTATTCAGGAAACCCCACATGATAAAATGTGCTGATAGCACATAATTCTGTCCATGCTACGGATGACATTTTTCTCTTTGGAGGATCCTCATTTTACATAATAAGATACAAAACTAAGTGGGCACCCTCTATCCAGTCTGGGGCACTTCATGAAACCCAGAACTGAGTTTGATGTTGCCTGTCATTTGCTTTTCTTCATGAGAACCCTGAACACCTAACCATGGCCAGCATCCTCTTTTGAGACCCTCAACATCAAGGATCCGGAAGAGATCATCTGAGAGTGTGAGATGGCACTCCCTCCCTTCGGTCCTTGAAGCTACAAGTGAAGCCATCCCTGGTTCATCCCTGAACTTTCTCTGCCACGTTTACGTCGACTTCCTCCTTAAGGGAACTGCTCTGACTGCTAATGATTTGTTTAGACCTCTCCAGGTTTGGACTGTTACACATAGAATAAGTCAATATGTATTTCTTGGTGTCTGGCTTTTTTGCTCATGTTATTATTTTAAAATTCATTCATGTTCTAAAGGGCGTTTTCTTATATGTCTGGTGCTCACCTGGAAATGTGATTCTTATTTCAGTAAAAAGTAGAGTAGACATCTTGTCTTTTCTTTCATTTAGCAGCTTAGTAATGATGATTGTGTTGCCTGCCATCTTCCCAAGGTGAACAATTATTATTATCAGGGTGAGCTCAAGTTATGTTACTGTATGTGATGCCTCTGGACCCCACTGTAGTTCTACTTTATGGGTGATAACAATGACCCATCACGCCTCTTCTGGTGGCCCTAAGGATGCTCCTGAGAGAACCCAGTACACCTGGATGACTTTCTGCTCTCTGTTCACAATCTGTCCTGGGCACATCTTTCCCCTGCCTCATGCCTAAGGCTGGCCATTAACCCGAGTGGACTGGTTCCTTGAAGTGGGAAGCGGGATTTAGAGATCACACGTGGGATACTACTCACACAGTCCTTTTTAGTCAGACACTCCAAACACACCCAAAATGGAGACAAGATCCTGAGAGGGAGATAGGGGCTTGCTTCCAACTTCTCCCTGGAGGCTGAGGCTATAATTTCTTACTAGCCCCTGGCGAGACCCATCCCCAAAAAAGACAACACCAGGGAGGCTGGAAGGGAGACACCTGCAGTTGTGGCTGTAGTCAGATTGGTCGCTGGCTCTGGGGTAAGCAGCCCTTTCTCTGGGCATTGGGGACACCTGAGGATGCCTGCCTGCTCTTACCCTGTGGTCACACCAGGAGGCTAGAGTGACAACAACCCTATAGTGTAAAGAATCCCTGTCCCCTTCCACGCCACGTCACTCCTTAGGGAAGCAAACACCCCTCCTCCTCCCTTGGAGGATCCATCTCCAGGAAAGCAACTACCTTCCTGCCTCAGGCACATCCCTCCTCGGTTTTGTGTCTCTGGGAAAGTCACTTGGCCCCTCTGCATTTCAGTGCCCTCAACTGTAAAATGAGGGTTACAGCCTGGCTCTGCACACCCCACAGGGCTCACGTGAGGGTGAAAAGAGATGGCATGTTTTAAGGCATCTTGCCCATATAAAGGCTGGAAACTGACCTTCCACCCCCCCAGCCCCCCACCCCATGACTTGTAGCCATCCAAGCTTCCTCTCTGGAGGCAGCCACTGCTACCTGTCTGCCTCATTCTTTTAGATAGTTCATATCTGAACGCTTTTGTAGCACTTATGAAGTCATTCTTCTTTGGGCTTAATTTGGATCTGCTTAGAGTAAGCTTCATAACATAACGCTAACAGGCAGGCCCCATATACATCTCCACATTGCACAGCAAGGAACTGAGCATAGAGGGATTAAGTCTCTTTCCGAGGGTTATACAACTTCTGGCTGCCATCTGAGCCCAGGCCATCAGGCATCTGCCCCTTGCTCTTTGCCACTGAGCTCAGCTGCCTTCTTGAATTGCCTCCTGTCATTAGAGTAACATTCCCAATGCAATCAGCCTGTTGCGTATGGTAAGTGCCCACCACACTGCAGGACCCCTCCTCCTGAGCCCAACTTTGACTCTGTCTCCCCCAGGTATCTGGTGAACACACGTGTAACCTGGGAAACATGAGCACTGGCCCGTGGTCTCCTGCCAGGAGCATATCAGCAGTGGTCTCTACTTTCAATGTGGTTTTCTCATGCTCATGGCTCACGGATACAATGAGAGATCATGAAAGATTCAAATACGGGATATGCCAGAAAAGTGATCTGGGGACAAGGAACCTCCTGCCCATCCCCAGGAGCATCTACATCAGCCTCTGGCCAGCAGCAGGTGGAGCCTCAGTCATCACCCCTGCCGGCTTCTCCACTGACGGTGCTGTGGACTTGAAGCCATCAGAAGATTTGAAGTCGTTGTGGTTTTTACAGCAGGGCCTGAGTCTCGGTGAGGAAGGGTAGAAGCAGGGAGCTGCCCACTCGGAGCTGGATCAGCCTCTGACCCTTCTCAGCCAGGCCTGAGTCCAGGCTGCTCGGGCAGCTGTTCTGGTCAGTAGGCACTGAAACCCTGGCAGCTCATCGGCTTCACTCCCTGAGCTGTCCAAGCACCAGCCCCACGGGCCACTTCACTTAATGAATCTTAACTGCCCAGCAGCCTGGTTTGGTCGGTTGAAGATGAATCGGATTCTAAGTCCAACTGTCACAGGGGCAGTTGGCTGGGAACGTCCTGCATTCCGAGTCGGTTGGGAGTCAAGGAGGCTACTGGTCATTCAGAGAGGTCACCCAACCACAGGGAAGTCTCCCCACAAGGCGGCTACAGGGTCAAGTGAGGGCAAGACAGACATAAATTTGGACCCCAAGCCTTCAGCAGGGCTTCCTTTGGGGAAAAGTCTTGCATTTTGGGTGAGGAGTTGAAATATCAAGCCGGGAGTTAAGTCAGGGTTTGGGCCCTTTTCTTGGGCCAGGCACCTCCTCCAGGGCATCAGTGTTTCCCTGCAGCAGCATTGGGGTGTAAGAGGATTTGGAAAGGATGAGGGTCCTCACTTTGGAGTCCAGGGCATCGACTCCTGGTCTCAGGCATTCAGGGATCTTCATCCCCAGGGAACTAACTAAATTTCCTGCCTTAGCTTGATTACTCATCAGTATTGTTACTCTGAGTAAATCACTGAATCTCTCTCCATTTCAGTTCCCCAAACCATAAAATAGAAGTCAGCTCCTGCTCTTCCCATCCCACGTCACAAGAGATAACAGATTTTTTCCCCTGAGCTGTAAAGCATCATGCCCATGCCAATGTGGAAAGGTGGACCTTTGTCCTGCCTTGACCTGTCACCTTCCATGTCCCCTCTCTGGAGGTCACCAGTGCTGCCTGTCTTCCTTACTGTTCCAGATGTGTAGCAGTTGAACACCTATGTAGTACAGCACTTATGAAGTACCCATGATCTTTCTTAAGACTGTCTGTATTTATATTTAGCCTCGTAACATTGTAGTAATAAGCAGGCCCTAGTAACATGTTCGCATTCCGGAACATGAAGCTGAGGACAGAGGAGTTGAGTGACAGTCCCAGGAACATGTGGCTTAGATTTCAGGCCAGGCACAGGCACCATGCTCTGGTCACTGTGTTGTGCTGACTTTCTACATTGTCTCATCTAAAGAAAGCAGCTATTCCCGTGCAACTCATCTGTGGGGTATTTTCTGCACATCACACCATGGGATCCTATTTTCTAATCCTCACTTGATTCACGTGGGTCCACTAGGTAGCTAGTGATAAAGAGATCCAAAATTTAACCTGGGAATACATTCTTAATACTTTGCCAGGAAGATGTCAACACTCCTAACTCTTATAAACGCATTTCCCAGTGCCTTCATAAAGGAATATGAAAAGAAAAAGATAATAGATTGAAATAAAGCATGTACCTAGGAGTCAATCCTTGGGGAGTAAAATGGATCCTCAGGCACTGGTATGGGAGGCCCTGGTGCTTTATCTTTCTCTGGCTCTGGCCCTCATTCTGGTTTTTTCCAGGTCCCTCCCCCAGCATAGGAATCTCTCATAAATGCAGGTTGCTCTGTCTTTATCTTCTTGGGCAGGACCCAAGGGAATTGCAAAGGGAAAGAGAAAGGCATTACAGCCAGAGCCCGGAAGGTGGGTCTAGACCAGGCTGAGAGGCAGGCAGATGCCCCGTTGCCTGGTGGATGGGAGGCTGTATTCTCCTCTCCGCTACCCCCTCCCCAGCCCTAATGTGTGCCCAGAGTTTTGAGCAGCACCTTCCTGTTGAGTGAGGGGAGGTTTTGAGACTCCAGTTGCAAAGGAAGCATTTCCACACAGCAGAAAGGAAGGCTTAGATGTGCCTGAGAACCCTGCTGTGTGCTGGCTCTGTGGCATGCACCCCCTCCTCCAACCTCCCAGTTTCCAGAAGGTGGGGAGCAGGTCAGAGGGACTGCTCCCCAGAGGGTGGGAGCCCCTCAGAGGGACTACGATGCCTGGGACATCAAGGAGGGGAGGGGATGTCTACATATAGGCTCACTGCCCACAGGGACCTCTCAAGGGGTTTGTGTGGACCAAGAAAATGTGAAACCCATAGACACAGCTTTCGATTATGTAAGTCCATCTAAGCATATTTTGGAGAAATGCATTTACATGGTATCCTTGAAATGATCTTCCTAAATACATTCCTTTAAGGGGAGTCTGTTCCAATTGGAGAAGTTGTACTCTCTGTAGAGGCTCTAAACTCCTCTGGCTGCAACCTGAAGGCAGATAGAGAGGAGGACGCATGTGCGTTGGGGGTGCAGCAGCGCCCCTACCTGCATGGAAGCTTGTCCTACCTCTGCACAAGGTGGACTCCCAGTGATTGTTTTTAGAAGGTGAAAGTTTCTGTTGCAGTCAGAAACGGATGGACAAAGGATAAGAGTATCAGTGTAGCCGAGCACAGTGGCTCACACTTGGAATCCCAGCACTTTGGGAGGCTGAGGTGAATTGATCACAAGGTCAGGAGTTTGAGACCAGCCTGGCCAACGGGACGAAACCCTGCCTCTACTAAACATCCAAAAAATTAGCTGGGTGTGGTGGCACGTGCCTGTAATTCCAGTTACTCGGGAGACCAAAACAGCAGAATCGCTGGAACCCAGGAGGCAAAGGTTGCAGTGAGCAGAGATCAAACCATTGCACTCCGCTTGGGTGACAGGGCAAGACTCCATCTCAAAGAAAAAATAAATAAATAGGTGGAAAATAAACGGTTCTATTTACCAGGAACATGCTTTGCAGAAGAAAATGTCATAATGACTCCGGACCAGGGAGGCATCCTCAAACCCAGCTCTAAGACGGCAGTTAAGGCGCAGCGGGGAAGGGACGCCAGCTTTGCAGCCAGGCAACTCTGAGATCTACCCCTTCCTTACTGTGTGACCTCGGGTGGTGTACTCAATGTCTCCAGGCCCCTAATATTCCTCATCTATAAATGGACGTAGTAATGCAGCTTATAGGGTCATGGGGAAGATAAAAATGTGAAACTTTAAAGAAGTTAGCACAGTACTTGGAATGTTAATAGAATGGAAGAAATGATCGTTATGATCATTAGTCACACTACTTTTTATTTATTTATTTATTGTTCATTTATTTTTTGAGAGGGAGTCTTGCTGTGTCACCCAGGCTGGAGCATAGTTGCTCAATCTCGGCTCACTGCAACCTCCACATCCGGGGTTCAAGCAATTCTCCTGCGTCAGCCTCCCGTGTAGCTGGCACTGTAGGCAGGAACCACCACACCTGACTTTTTTTTTTTTTTTTTTTTTTTTTTTTTTTTTAATTTTTAGTAGAGAAGGGGTTTCACCATGTTGGCCAGGCTGGTCTTGAACTCCTGACCTCAAGTGATCCTCCCACCTCAGCCTCACAAGGTGGTGGGATTACAGGTGTGAGCCACCATTCTGGGATGGTTTTTTTCATCTTGTAAGACTAAAACTCTCTACCCGTTAAATACAAACTCCCCATTCCCTCCTCTGTTAGCCCCTGGCAACCATCATTCTACTTTCTGTCTTTACCATTTTGAGCATTATTTTGTTTTTCCTTTTGTTTTGAGACGAAGTCTCGCTCTGTCACCCAGGCTGGAGTACAGTGGCTTGATCTCGGCTCACTGCAACCTCCGCCTCCTGGGTTCAAGTGATTCTCATGCCTCAGCCTCCCAAGTAGCTGGGATTACAGGCATGTGCCATCACGCCCAGCTAATTTTTGTATTTTTAGTAGAGACGTGGTTTCAGCATGTTGGTCAGGCTGTTCTTGAACTCCTGACCCGGCAGGGCAAGGTGGCTCACACCTGTAATCTCAGCACTTTGGGAGGCCAAGATGGCAGATCACAAGGTCAGGAGTTTGAGACCAGCCTGAGCAACATGGTGAAACCCCGTCTTTACTAAAAATACCAACATTAGCCGCGCACGGTGATGGGTGCCTGTAATCCCAGCTGCCCGGGAAGCTGAGGCAGGAGAATTGCTTCAGCCCGGGAGGCGGAGACTGCAGTGACCCCAGGTCTGCAACCTCCTCCTCGGGGTCAAGGGGTTCTCCTGCCTCAGCCCCTCCCGTCGCTGGGATTACAGGCGGGCGCCAGCACGCCCGGCTAATTTTCGTATTTGTAGGAGAGGCGAGGTTTCAGCATGACGGCCAGGTGGCTGGGGTTCCCCCGCGTCGCCCCAGATCCGCGGGACAGGCCAGCGCGGCCCTCCCGTGGGCGTCACAGACACCGATGCGGCGCGGGTCCCTCTCCCCGGGAAGGGGCTGGCTGGGTCCGTCCGCAGGGCCCCGCCGGGGCTGACCCAGCATGGGGTGGAGGGGCGGCGGCGCCGGACCCCAGGGCCCCTGCCTGCCTCCTGGGGAGCCGGGGACCCCGGCAGCCCCGGTTTGGCCGCGGTGTCTGGGCCCCAGCGAGGCCCCCGGGCTCCCACAGGACGGATGGGACGGGGAGGCCCCGCCGGCCTGGGGACTGTCCCTCCAGCCCCAGGTTTCCGGGGTTCTAAGGCCGCCTCTGCGGAGGGACCCGGCAGCCCGCCCCGCATCCCGAGGCGCCGCGCCCGAGGGACCCCGGAGCTCCGGCCAGGCCGCCTCCTTTGCGGATCGCGAAGCTGGGGTGCGGGGCAGGTCCCGGGAGCTCCCCGGGCAAAGGCAGCCGAGCTCGGGGCTGGGGTCCAGGGCCCCACCCCTGCCACCTCCAGGGCCCGAGAGCCGGCAGGAGAGACCCGGCCCTTTCGTCCTCCGCGGAGGCCGGGCGGAGGCTCAGCCTGGGCCGCGACGCGAGGCCGCTTCCGCGCAGTCCGAGCCGCGGCCGCTTTAAGGGGGGGTGGGGCGTCCGCCGGCCGCCGGGGGCGCTGCGGCGCGCGCTCTACGGAAGCCCGGACGGCGCCGCCCCGGGCCGGCAGAAGCGCCTCGTCGTGGACGTGAGCAGGGGCGGCGGCGACCTGGTCGGGGCGAGGCAAGCGGCGGCCGGGGGCGTTGGCGGCGCGGGAGCAGCCGGCAGAAGCGGAGCCGGGAAGTCGGGGGTCCAGAAGCGGCCGCGCGGTCCCAGCGAGCTTCGGAGAAGCCGTGATGGCTTCCACGTGACGGGGGAGCAGGAGGCGGGTTTCCGCGGTAAGTGTCGGGGCACGGACCCCACCGGGAGCCCTCCGCGCCTCCCCGCTCCTTCCGCGCCGCTCCCTTTGCGCCCCGACTCCCTGGGAGCCCCTGGGCCCCGCGGCCTGCGCGGCGGCGGTGGCGGGGTCCTGGCCGGGGAGGTGCGCGAGCCGCGTCCAGCGTGTCGGAGCGCCGGGCCCGGGGACCCTCCGAGCTGCGGTCCGGGGTCATTCCGAAGTCTCGGGACCTTTAGAAAGAGGCCTCGCTGGAGCACAGCAGAGCGGGGGACGTCTGCACGGTCCGCTCTTTGAGGGGTCGCCAGGTATTTAGCTGTTTTCCGTGGTGCGCATTCTGATTTCGCTTTCGTCTGCACTGTATGAGTTCGCTCTTCTCCAAAACCGTACCCGCGTCCCCCCCCTTTTTTTTTTTTTGCTTCTGGAGACAATCTCGCTGCCGTCTGGCCTCACTGCAACCTGCGCTCCCCGGTTCAAGCCATTTTCCCGTCTCAGCCTCCTGGGTAGCTGGGACTACACGGGCCGCCACCACGCCGGGCTAATTTTTTATCAGTGGTAAAGACGGGGTTTCTCCATATTGATCAGGCTGGTCTCAAACTCGTGACCTCAGGTGGTCTGCTGCCTCGGGCTCCCAAAGTTCTGGGATTACTGGCGTGAGCCACCGAGCCTGGCCTCTCCTATTTTTAAAAAAGCTTTGTAGGAATATTCAATAAGTGTGAGATGATCTGTGTGTGGTTTTCAGTTAACTTTGTCGGATAGTTAATTTTGAGGACCTTTTATCTGTTGTTCGAATTTATGTCGCAGAATTGTCTGTTCAGCTCCTTTGCGAGGTATTAGATTCTTTTGCTACTTTGTAGTGTTTTTTTGTGTACACCTTAGATGACAACTCATGAATTACATGATTACCTGAAATTTTGGCCTAATCTATAGGATGATTTTTTTTATTTGGAGAGTAGTTTCTGTGCTGTGCAGAAACTTTTCAGGTTGATGTAGTCCATGTTTATTTGTGCGTTTTATGCATGTAATTTTGGTCACCCATGTAAGAAAATACTTCTCAGTGACAAAGCATTTAATCGTCAATGAGGTTTTTCTTCTGTTTCTTTTTTTCTTTGCAAAGGTGAGCAGAGATTCAAGTGACCCAGAATATATGCCCAAGCTGTGTTTTAGTTAAAAACATTTGTGGTTTATGGTCATTTGTTCAGGTCTTCGGGGTTTTGTTTGTTTGTTTTTTGCCGGAGGGTGGGGGGACGGTTGATTTTCATATATCCTGTAAAATAAAGATTCGGCTTCTCTCGTCTGCATCCAGATACCATTTTTCTCAAAGGTGTTCATTGAGCAGACTCTGCCTTCCACATTGCGGCGGTCTTTATCAAAGGGAGTTGACTGTGTCCATATTTGCGTTGAGCTTGTTTTGCCCTCCCCGTTTTTGTCCACAGTTCTAGGTATTGTTTTTGTACAAGTACCATGTATCTGCTGCATAACTGCAGCTTGGCAGTGTGATTGAATATCGAGGATTGTGGGTCCTCACTTTGATTGTATTTCTCAGGATTCCTTTAGATATGAATTGCTCTTATGGTTCCCTGTGACTTTTAGCAATATGTATTTATTTCTGTTAACTTTTTTTCGCAGCATAAAGGTGCATAATTAGGGGTACATTTTCACACATATAGATAGGGTAATGATCAAATCAGGGTACTTAGGATCTCTATTCCCTCATAAGATACTATTTTTGTGTGACGGGAACACTCAAAATTCTCCTTTCTTGTTCTTTTGAAAAATATAATATTGTTAACTCCAGTCACCAGACTGAGGAGCAGAGAACACTCAGATTTATTCCTTTAAGATTAAGATGACTTTGCTTCCATAACCAATCCCCACTCCCCCTCTATCTCCCAGACCCTGGTACCCTGGTAACCAATATTGCGCTTTCTATCTCTTCTTTTTTTTTTTTTTTTTTTTTTTTGGGACGGAGTTTCGCTCTTGTTACCCAGGCTGGAGTGCAATGGCACGATCTCGGCTCACTACGACCTCCTCCTCCTGGGTTCAGGCAATTCTCCTGCCTCAGCCTCCTGAGTAGCTGGGATTACAGGCACGTACCACCACGCCCAGCTAATGTTTTGTATTTTTAGTAGAGACGGGGTTTCACCATGTTGACCAGGATGGTCTTGATCTCTTGACCTCGTGATCCACCCGCCAAAGTGCTGGGATTACAGGCTTGAGCCACCGCGCCCGGCCCTTTATCTCTTTAAGATAGACATCTTAAGATTCAGTGTTTGTCTTTCTTGGCCCAGCTTATTACATTTAACGGAATGTTTTCCAGGTTCACCTTGGTTGCTCCACATGACACTCTTTCATCATTTTGGTGGCCGAAGAATATTCCCTAGGGTATGCATACGAGAGTATGATCCCTTTATCTGTGGATGGACAGGTAGGTTGAATGTATACCCAGTAGTGGGAATCCTAGATGGTATGGTAGTTTTCTTTTCTATTCTTTGCAGGACCCCTAACTGTTTTTTATGGCATTGATACTAATTTACGTTTCCACAAATAGTTCCCCTTTGTGGAAATTCATACTAGAAGTTGTCTTTTTAAATATTTTAATCTGTTTGTAATGTTCATTCTAGTTGGAGTGAGATAATCTGAGTGTGGCTTTGATCTTCATCTTTCTCATGCATAGTAATGGAAACCACGTTTTTGCAAACGTTGCATCAGTTTCTTGTCTGCACAAATATCTCTTCAGGTTATTTGGTTTCGTTATTTTTCTGCCTTTTTTTTTTTTCGTCCAGCTGGTAGTGTTACTGGCTTGTACCTTTTCAAAAGTAACTCCTTATCCAACCGAATGTTTGCCTAAATTTTTCTTACAATTTTTAGTATGCTTTTTCATTTTGTTCATTGTTTATTAGGCACAAACTCTTCAGTTTGACGCGGCCCCACATGTGTATGATTTCTTGGTTAGCTGTGATGTTGGTTACTAATCAAGAAAAAATCGCTACCAAAGCAGTCCATTGTCCATGATTTTCTTTTCCTTGTATTTTTGTTAGTTTTTGCAAATCGTGAGCATACATCCAAGTTGCAGTAAATACATGCACACCGGAGGTTGTCTTTATAGGAGCTTTATGGTTGCAAGTTTTGTGTATAATCTTTAATCATTTTCAGTTGATTATTGTGTATTTCATACCATAAGAGTCCTATGTTACTCTTTTGCATGTGGATACCTAGTTTTGAAAACCTTTCCCATTGTGTCAGTTTGGTCGTGTTTTGAAAAATGTGTTCACTCTATGTAAATTTGTGTTTTATTATTGGGCGCCCTCATTTTACTCACTGGTCTGTATTTCTCTGTGTTTACCAGTGACATATGGGTTGGTTAACTAGGGATTTTCATTTAATTAGAACTCAGGGAATGTGATACATGCCACATGGTTTGTGTTTCTCAGGATAACTTTGGAAATTAAGGGTGTTTCACGTTTCCATGAGAATTTTGGCATTGTTTCCTTTATATATCTTAAAACACCATTTGCCATATATAAATGTATATAATTAGAGGGTACGGGGAAGATTTCGATACATGCGTATGCTGAGTAATGGTCAAATTGGGTTATTTAGCATCTCTTCGCCTCCTATAGTTATGATTTTTTTGTGTAACAACATTCAGAATATTTTTCGAGACATATGATACATTTGTGTTACTTTGGGACATATGATACATTTGTGTTAAGGCCAATCACCCTGCTGTGGAATAGAAGACCAGGATTGATTGCTCTCATCTGAGAGTAACTTTTTACGCATTACTGATTCCTTCCCAGACCCTCCCCCTCTTCCCAGTGACCACTAGTAACCCCTATTGAACTTTCTGCTTCTAGGAGATGAAGATGTTTTCAGCCTGCATGCCTGAGATCGTGTGGAATGGGACTTTGTGTACCAGGCTCATTCGTTGCACCTGATGTTCTCCAGGTTTCTTCATGCGGCTGCAGATGGCAGGATTTCCCAGAGCTCTATGGCTGGAACGTACTCCGTGGTGTATCTGTACAGCAGTTTCTTCATCCCTGCAGCTGTGTGTGGACAGGTAGGCTGGTTCTGTACCCTGGCCACAGTTACAAGTGCCTCAGTACCCATGGAAGGCAGATAGCTCTCTTCAGCCCAGGGATTTCAACTGCTTTAAATGTGGAACCAGTGGTGGGGCTGCCAGCTGACACGGTAGTTGTACTGTGAAGTTTTTCAGGAACCTCTTGCTGTTTCTTATAGTGTGTAAACTAGTTTACATCTCCACCAATAGTGTCGAAGAGGTTACCTTTCTGTAAGTCTACACTGGCTGGCGCCTTCAAAAATTTGTGTTTTCTTTTTTGTAGTATTCATAGCGAGTGGAAGGAGACGGAATGTTAGGGTGGCTTTCATGGACATTTTTGTGAGTATTAGTGATGTGGAGAAAGTCATTTGAGAAATGCCCACGTTGCTTTCCATGGCATCTGAACTGGTTTGCATTTCCACCAGCGGCAGAGCAGCGTCCCTCTCCTGGGCCTCGCCTGCATTCGCTCTTGTGGACCGTGTCCTGATCGTCATCCTGGCCAGTGTGCAGTACCATCTCGTGGGCCTTCTGCTTTGCCTTTTTCTGATGATGACTGGGGTAGAGAAATGTTGTCGTGTGTGTCGGTGCTGTAAGCCTTCTTTTGAGTTGCATGTGTTCATGCCCCTTGCCCTTTCTTCTTTGAGTTTTTGTTTTCCTGATTGATGTGCTTAACATCTTTTTTTTTTTTTTTTGAGACAAAGTTTTGCTCTTGTTACCCAGGCTGGAGTGCAATGGCGCGATCTCGGCTCCTGGGTTCGGGCAATTCTCCTGCCTCAGCCTCCTGAGTAGCTGGGACTACAGACACGCGCCACCATGCCCAGCTAAATTTTTTTTTGTATTTTTAGTAGAGACGGGGTTTCACCATGTTGACCAGGATGGTCTCGATCTCTTGACCTCGTGATCCACCCGCCTCGGCCTCCCAAAGTGCTGGGATTACAGGCTTGAACCACCGCGCCCGACCCGATTTGCTTAACATCTTTAAGGTAGATCCTGGACATTAGCCTTCATCAGATACATGCGTGGGAACATTTTCTCCCGTGTTGCAGGCCGTCTGTTCACTCTGTTGGTCATTTCTTCTGTGCAGCAGCTCTTCTGTGTATTAGGTGCCACTGGGCAATAGTTGTTTTAGTTGCACGTGCTTTTGGAGACTGAGACAGATCCATGCTGTGCCAAATCCTCGTCAGGAAGGGTGTTTCTGGGTTCTCTTGCAGGCTTTTCATATGTGAGGTCTTGCGTTTACATCTTTGATTCATCTTGAGTTTTTGTCTGTGCACCGTGAGACACGGGGCCCACTGTTTTTCTTCTGCAGCTGGCTGGTCATTTATGCCAGCGCTATGTATTGAAAGGAGGGAGTCTTTTCTCAAAAGCTTATTTTTGTGGATTTGGTTGAAGATCAGATGGTGTTAGGGGTGAGGGTTTACGTCTGGGTCCTCAAATCTGTTCCACTGCTCTGGGTGGAATGGGGTCCCTAGCTTTTCAATGAAATTTAACATCGGGAAGTGTGACACGACCGAGGTAGTTGGGATTTCTCAGGATTGCTTTGGAAGTTCATTGTGTTTTGTGGTCCACATGAATTTTAGCATTGTATATTTAGATCGTTTTTTAAAATGTTGGTCATATAGTAAAGGTATACAATAGAAGGAGTTAGAGTGGGGCATTTTGATTAGTGCAGACATAGAGGAATGATGAAATCAGGATATTTAGAGGCTCTATTATCAGAAACAGTTGTTAATTTCTTTGTGGTGAAAACATTTGGAATCTCCCAGATTTTGTGAAAAGGGTGTGATGTTGTGTTAGCCTCTGGTCACTTGGCTGTGGAACAGCGGGAACAGTTCATTCCTCTCATCTAAGTGAACTTTGGGTCTATTTCGACCTCTGCCCATCCCCCTTCTTCCGTCCAACCTTTAATAACTATTGTGCTTTCTAGACCTGTGCAGTGATGCCTTTCATTTTGGATTCTACATTGGTTTTTCTATTTCTGCCTGTCTTAGGTCATATACCATGATGTCTTCCAGGTTCAACAGTGTGGCTCCAAATGATGAAATTTCATTCTGGTTTTCTGGCTGAAGACGATTCTGTTTGTGTACATCCACCAAGTATCCCTTCATCTGCGGATGGGCAGGTAAGTCTATTCTTTGTCTTGGCAATTGTGAATAGTGCTGCAGTCCACATAGGATGGCATATGCCTCTCTCATGGACTGATTTCTTTTCCCCTGAAAGCATACTTAGTAGTACACTTGTTAGATGAAGTGGTAGGTATAGGTTAAACTTTTGGAGGAATCTCCCACTGGTTTCTGTAGTATATATACTGATTAATGTTCTTACCAAATGAGTTCCTGTGTGGAAATTTACACCAGCATTTGTGTCTCTTTTCATGTATTTTATTGCTTTGATAACATCCATATGAATTAGTGAGATGATGTGTGTTGTTTTGATTTACATCTTTCTCATGATTTGTGATGTTATCTAAGTTTTTAAAACTTGTTTTCAGTGTTAACGTCTTCTTTGCAGAAATGTCTATTTAGGTTCTTTGGCCCCATTTTGTTTAGTTATTAGTTTCTCTTTTGTGTTTTTGCTAGTAAATACTGTTTGTTGCTTAGACATTTTGAAGACAACCTTTCATCAGATGTAGGTTTGCTGAAACCTTTCTTGTAAACTTCAGTATAATTTTTTATTTTATTTATGGATTTTTTAAAAATCTGCTTGGGCACAAACTCTAATGTATGATGCAGTCCCATGTGTGTCTGTTTTCTTGTTGTCCTTTGATGCAGGTGACCGATGAGGAAAACCGGAATCGTGAGCAAACTAGTCCATCACCTATGAGTTTTTCCCCTTGTGTTTTGCATTTTGTTTTGACACACTGAGCACAGATCCACACTGACCTAAATACACCCACACTGTGTGTCTTCTCATTGGAAGAGTTTGATGCATTCAGGTTTTGTTTATGAGTCTCTAATTCATTTTGAGTTAAACTTTGGTCTTTTTACACAATAGGGGTCCTGTTTTACTTACGTAGGGATATCCAGTTTTCAAATCCATTTACTAAACAGATTTTCCCTTCTTCGTCGTGTCTTTCGGTGTTCTTTTACAGAATGTGTACACTCCCTAGGAATTCGGGTTTGTGATTGAGCTCCCTCATTCTCTCTGTTGGTCTGGGTTTCTCGGTTAGTGCCAGTCATGGATTGTTTAGATAACTGGCTTTTCAGTATAATTTCAAATGGAGGACAGTGATGCATTCCATGTACTTTGTATTTTCAGGGTTGCTTTGAAATTCAGGGTGTTTCACGGTTTCATGTAAATTTTAGCGTCATTGGTATCCTTTTTTTTTTTAAAGAGATTACCGTAGAGTATATGTGTATAACTAAAAGATACAGGGGCCATTTTGATACGGGTACACCTAGCATATTGATCAAATCACAATATTTAGCATCTATGAAGTCCTCTAGGTATTATTTGTCTGTGGAGATGATACTCAGAATCCTTTCCAACTGTTTAGAAAATTCACTACAATATTAACCCTGGTCACCCTGCTGTGGAAGAGAAGGGCAGGACTGATCTGTTTTCTAAGTGTAACTTTGTACCCATTACCAATCCCTGCCTAGGCCCCCCTTCCCCACAGCCTCTGGTAACCACTGTTGATGAGGTCAAGTGTTTCAGATTCCACATGCATGAGACCATGCAGTATATGCCTTTCTCTGCCTGGCTTATTTCATTTAACATAATGTTCCTCAGGTTTTTCCACGCGGCCGCAAGTGACGAGATTTCGCCCATTTCTATGGTTGAAGAATATTCTGCTCTGGATGTATACTGCAGTTTCCTCGTCCCTTCATCAATGGACGAACAGGTAGGTGCATTTCCTGACTTGGCTGTCATGAGTACTGCAGTACGGAGGGCAAGGCAGGCATCTCTTCCACATAGGAATGGAATGCTGGCTAGATGAAATGGCGTTTTTGCTTTGTTTGAGGCACTTCCAGCTGTTTTTCCCAGTGTATGTAGACATTGACATTCCCACCAATAGTGTATGAGAAGAGTTTCCCCTTCTGAAAGTCTGTACTAGTTGTTTCCTTTGAAAACTTTTATTTCTGTTTTAGGTATCATTCATTCAATGTGGATGGAAGCTGTATCTCAGTGCGGTTTTCCTTGACATTGTTGTGAGGATTAGCGCTTTTGAGAGACTTCTCTTTTACCTGTGAGTCAGTTTCACATCTGCCTTGCAGACACGTCTATTCAGGTCCTTTGCCCAGACTTAGCTGGGGTGTTTGTTTTTGTTTCTGTCTTTGTTTCACCCCACATGGTAGTGTTAGTTTCTTGCACATATTTTATAACGACCTCTTTCAAAAACAGGATTTTCCCTAGTTTTCTTTCAGTGTATGAGGCCCCTTCTCTTCTGTTCATTGTTTTCTTTTCGCAGCATAAGATCCGATGTTTTCCATAGTTCCACGTGTTTACATATTAGTGGTGACTTCCGTGTGCAGTTAAATACAGTGGAAAAGATTGTCAATTCATGGCATTCATTTTCTATGGTTTTTTCCTTCTAATTTTTCTTTTTCTTTTTATATTTCACATTTTGCAACTTGTGTGCATAGATTAGTCTTCTAAACTACGTGCTTACCCTTTGTTCCTGAGGGAAGTAAATGGTTTTAAGATTGAGTTTAGGCCTTCAGTGTCATTTACATCGATTTTTGTCCTATTTCACTGTTTTTTATGTGGTTATCCAGTTTGCTCAAAATCATTTATTACCCATTGTGTCTTTTTGTGTTGTGTTGAAAAATGCATCAGTGTATATTCATTGGGGTGGTGTGTGGGACCCCCTCATTCTGACCATTGGGTAGCCTTTCTGTTTTTATGGCAGTGGCAGGTTGTTTGGATAAATAAAGGTTTTAGTTGCTTTATCATTATGCACACCTAGTAGTACTGTTGTACAGGACCAAGCATAGAAAGTCAACACCAAGACAAAAGTATGTCAAATTGCAGGGTCACTTATTGCCAGCGACCACAGAGGACTCAGTTCTCTCCAACCCGTGGCCCCGAGTTCAGGGGGAGCGGGGTTTTTAAGCTGAAAAACCACATCCTGGTTTCAGGGTGAGGGGATGCAGGGCAAGCAACTTTTCAGCACTTATTGATAAGCAAAAGCAAGCACTTTTCATAGAAGCCAAGGTCAGCAGTTACTTGCAAAGAGAATGGGGAAGCCGTTGCAGCTTATTTTAAAAACACCTTTGTCTTTTATAACATGGCATTTCTCAGGTTCTAACTTTTAGGCTAGCCATGTTACATTACCTTTAGTTTCTTGCATATGTGAGATAACAGTTCTTTTCGGATACATGATTTTCTATAATTTTATCCCAATCTGTAGGGTGCCTTTTCTTTGGGTTCATTGTTTTCTCCTTGTTTATAAATTTTTTAATTGTCCTTTGGGAGCAGATGGAGCTCTGAACAAATTGTGCCCGGAGCTTAGAGTAGATGGAGCTCTGAGCGAGATGAAGCTCAGAGTAGATGGTGCTTAGAATGAGGTGGAGCACCAAGCATATGGTGCTCAGGGCAAGATGGAACTTCAGTGATTGTAGCTCAGAACAGAAGGAGCTCGCAGAAGATGTTGCTCCAAGCAGATGGTGCTCAGAGTAAGAAGGACCTAAGAGTGATTAGAACTCTGAGAAAGATAATGCTCTCTGCTCATGGTGCTTAGAGAGAGACAGAGCTCAGGGTGATTGCTCTGAGAGATTAGAGCTCGGAGCAGATGGTGCTCAGAGCAAGATGGAGCTCAGGGTGATTACTCTGAGAGATTGGAGCTCTGAGCGGATGGTGCTCAGAGCAAGATGGAGCTCAGGGTGATTGCTCTGAGAGATTGGAGCTCTGAGCAGATGTGCTCGGAGCAAGGTGGAGCTCAGGGTGATTGGTCTGAGAGATTGGAGCTCTGAGCGGATGGTGCTCGGAGCAAGGTGGAGCTCAGGGTGATTGCTCTGAGAGACTGGAGCTCTGAGCGGATGGTGCTCGGAGCAAGACGGAGCTCAGGGTGGTGCTCGGAGCAAGATGGAGCTCAGGGTGATTGCTCTGAGAGACTGGAGCTCTGAGCAGATGTGCTCGGAGCAAGACGGAGCTCAGGGTGATTGCTCTGAGAGACTGGAGCTCTGAGCGGATGGTGCTCGGAGCAAGACGGAGCTGAGGGTGATTGCTCTGAGAGACTGGAGCTCTGAGCGGATGGTGCTCGGAGCAAGACGGAGCTGAGGGTGATTGCTCTGAGAGACTGGAGCTCTGAGCGGATGGTGCTCGGAGCAAGACGGAGCTGAGGGTGATTGCTCTGAGAGACTGGAGCTCTGAGCCGATGGTGCTCGGAGCAAGACGGAGCTCAGGGTGATTGCTCTGAGAGACTGGAGCTCTGAGCGGATGGTGCTCGGAGCAAGACGGAGCTCAGGGGGATTGCTCTGAGAGACTGGAGCTCTGAGCGGATGTGCTCGGAGCAAGATGGAGCTCAGGGTGATTGCTCTGAGAGATTGGAGCTCTGAGCGGATGTGCTCGGAGCAAGATGGAGCTCAGGGTGATTGCTCTGAGAGATTGGAGCTCTGAGCGGATGTGCTCGGAGCAAGATGGAGCTCCGGGTGATTGGCGCTTTGAGCACAATGGGGCTTGGAGCAGATGCAGCTCTGAGCAACATTTAGCTCAGAAAACATGTTGCTCATAGCAAGATGGAGCTTGAGCAGATGGTGCTCAGAGCAAAATGAAGCTGGAAGTGAATGGTGCTCTCAGCAAGATGGAGCTTGGAGCAGATGGATCTCTGAGCAACGTGGAGCTTGGAACAGATGAAGCTCTAAGAAAAATTGAGCTTGGAGCAAATGTTGCTCGGTTTCAGATGGAGCTCAGAGCAGATGGTGCTCAGAGCAAGAGGGAGCTCAGAGAACCTGCTGCTCACAGTAAGATGGTGCTTGGAGCAGATGGTGGTCAGAGCAGAATGGAGCTGGAAGTGATTGGAGGATCTCAGTGAGATGGAGCTCGGAGAAGTTGGAGCTCTGAGCAGATGAAGCTCTGATCAGAGGGTGTCAGAGCAACATGGAGTTTGGAGTGATTGGAGGTCTGAGAAAGATGGAGCTTGGAGCAAATGGAGCTTCAAGTGGATGGTGCTCAGAGCAAGATGGAGCTTGGAATGTTTGGAGCTCCGAACCAGATGGAGCTCAGATCAGATAGACCTCCAAGATAGACCTCTGAGCAAGAAGGAGCTCCAAGCAAGATGGAGCCTGGAGCAGGTATTGCTGGTATAAGGTAGAGCTCCGAGCAGATGGATGCTCAGAGCGAGAGGGAGCGCGGAGTGATTGGCACTCTGAACGTTGCTCTGAGCAATTGGAGCTCTGCGCAAGATGCAGCTTGGAGCAGATAGAGCAAAAAGGAGCTCTGAGCAGAAAGGAGCTCTAAACAAAACTGGAGTTTGGAGGAGATGTTGCTAGGTTTTAGTTGGGGCTCAGAGCACATGTTGCTCAGAGTAAGATGAGGTCCAACCAGGTGCTGCTCAGAGCAAAATGGAGCTGGAAGTGATTGGAGCTCCCAGCAAGACGGAGCTCAGAGTGATTGGAACTCCATGCAAGATGGAGCTCAGAGTAGATGGATCTCTGACTAGATGGAGCTCCAGGTAAGGTAAATGTCTATGCAGATGGTGCTCAGAGCAAGATAGTGCTTGGAGTGATTGGAGCTGCAAGCAAGGTGGAGCTTGGAGCAGATGGAGCTCTGAGCAAGAAGGAGCTTGGAGCAGATAGAGTTTGGAGCAAGAAGGAGCTCTGTTGCAGCAGATGTCGCTCAGTGTGAGGTGGAGCTCAGAGAAGATGATCTCACAACATTGAGCTCAGAGTGATGGGCACTCCACACATTGCTCTGAGCCATTGGAGCTCCAAGCAGATCATGCTCAGAGCAAGATGGAGCTCTGAGTGATGGGAGCTCCTAGCAAGATTGAGCTTAGAGCAGACGGACTTCCAAGCAAGACAGAAGTCAGAGATGATGCTGACAGAAAGATGGAGCTCTGTGCAGACAGCACTCAGGGCATAAACACTCAGCATTTGTTTTCACAATCTTCACATGAGGAAATTCTAGCAGATTTGAGTACCAAACTTCTAGTGAAGGGACAGACCCATTGGCCTCATATACTATGATGCCAGTCCTAGAATCACCTTGCAGTGGAAAGTTTAATGACAGTTTAGGTCTCAATAGAATATAGAATCCAAGAGAAGACTTAAGGATTCCTACCTTATCAAGCTCATTGTCTTCAAATAGCAGAATGGAGAACTACTTGTCAAAGGGTAGTTCTAGTATCTCTTCCTTTGGTTTTCACATTTCTAATAAAGTTCTTGCGTTTTTCTGTTAACAGATCTGGGCAGATCCAGGAGCACATTAGAGATCTTATAAACCAGGCCTCTCACCTTTGGGAAAGGGCTACTGAGGGTTGGCTCTGCTGGGTGTCACCTGGCCTTCATTCTCATAGCTCTTCCCTTTCCTGGGACCCTTGGCCTCTCTCTTCCTTCTCCTTTTTAAGCCTTGCGTTCTGAATCTTCTCAGTTTATTTGCTCCCACCTTGAAACCATCAGACTTCAGATGATCTTGTGGTGGGGGTATCAACCTCTTTCTTTCCCTCAAGGACAACCAAGGTCTCCTCTGGACACCACGAGTCAGACCTTCCAAGAGACAGCAGCAGTCATCAAAACCTCCTCACCATGACAGCAAGCAAGGAGGAAGGATCCTGAAGACCCTCGCTGGCCCCTCTCAGCAGGAAGTCGCTACAGAGAATGACCTCTGCCCCATCTACCAAAAGATTTCTGGGTCCCAACTCCGAGGAAGCAATGTAAGGGCGGACAGTCAGATGTGAGCAGGCACGAGAGGGAGGTATCCATGTTGGAAAGAACTCCCCGGAGCACCTCTCTGTTTGCCCAGTACTCACTCCGTGGTCCAACTGTCAGAATGTTGTTAACTAGATCCTGGTAAGGAAGGAAAAGGGCAGAAGGGGGATTCCTGAGAGCTGAGCAGGCACAGTGGGCACAAAATGGAATGCCCTACCTTCCTGGGGTGGCAGTAAGAAGCAGTGCCACCATTAGACAGGATTCGTATTGATCACTGGTTCCCGCGCGTGTGTATTAAGCACGGTGAGGGAGGATCCCAGACTTCGGTGAGAACTGGGTAAAGAAAGAACAGAGGCAGCAGAAGATCCCAGTGCACAATGCCACGGGGGTGTCTCCAGCAGGGCCAGCCCACTCCTCTCCTGAAGTGTACTTGTACTTCCCAAATAAACTTTTCTTGCTTTACAAATTGGTCTTTTGGGTAAATTCTTTCTTCCAAAAAGACAACCAAGGATCGCCCGGATCAGTAACATTGTCGTGGGATGTCACTCATAGTAAGAGTGTTTCTGAGGATCTCAAAGTGAATTCAATAATGACAAGGTGTATCGATGATAAGAGTTGGTAAGAAAAAAAACCAGTTCAATAATATTTGACTTACTAAGAAATTTGTCTAGGGTTTGGCTGTTTTTCAATTGTGGGAAAATTCCCAAAGCCAGGTGCAGCGGTGCACAACTGTAGTCCCAGCTACTCCAGAGGTTGAGGCAGGAAGATTCCTTGAGCCCAGGAATTCAAGGTTGTAGCGTGAAACATGGTGCCAGTGAAGAGCCACTCTCTCACTTCAGCCTGGGCGACCGTGACCCTGTGTCTCAGAAAGATTACAACAATTATAAAACATTTGTTTCAACAGAAATGTAACTTTTTTGTGTCTCATTATTTTAAAAATTCAGTCAGTGCACTTTAACTTATCATTTTGATGGTGTTTTTATGATCTTGACACCCAGGAAAGTAATATAGGCCCATGCGAAATGAGGCCTCAGCCTTCTGTCTTTACCTGGGTTCATGTCCTAGCACACCGTAGAAGAGCAAATCGTGATGTTTTGGTTTTTGTTTTTTGTTTGTTTGTTTGTTTTGAGACGGAGTTTCGCTCTTGTTACCCAGGCTGGAGTGGAATGGCGCGATCTCGGCTCGCCGCAACCTCCGCCTCCTGGGTTCAGGCAATTCTCCTGCCTCAGCCTCCTGAGTAGCTGGGATTACAGGCACGTGCCACCATGCCCAGCTAATTTTTTGTATTTTTAGTAGAGACGGGGTTTCACCGTGTTGACCAGGATGGTCTCGATCTCTTGACCTCGTGATCCACCCGCCTCGGCCTCCCAGAGTGCTGGGATTACAGGCTTGAGCCACCGCGCCCGGCCTAAATCGTGATGTTTTTAAGAAAGCATTGCAGCAGATAAAAGAGAACAAATTAAATGAGTGTTCTAACACGTAAATTACAAACTAGCTGGCTGATTTTATAAAAGTCAATATATTGCTTTGTGTTATTTCTCTGAGTATACCCATATCTATGTGCCCATGAAATGTTGGTATGCCCCCATTGAGACTTCCTTGTTTTTTCTCCTTATTTATGTAAAATAGAACATACCATTTAGTGGCATCAAGTAAAGTGACAGAACATACAATATTTTGGTTTTCCATTTCTGAGTTACTTCACTTAGAATAATGGCCTCCAGCTCCATCCAAGTCGCTGCAAAAGACGTGATTCCATCCCTTTTTATGGCTGAGTAGTATCCCACGGTGTATATACTGCACAGTTTCTGTATGCACTCATCAGTGACGGGCACTTAGGTTGGTTCCATATCTTTGCAATTGCAAATCATGCTATAAACATGCATTTGCACGTGTCTTTGTGTCTTTTTTTCATGTGACTACTTCTTTTCCTTTGGGTAGATACCCAGTAGTGGGATTGCTGGATGAAATGGTAGTTCTACTTTCACTTCTTTAAGGACTCCCCGTGCTGTTTTCCATACTGGTTGTACTAATCGACATTCCCACCAGTCGTGTAAAAGTGTTCCCTCTTCACATTCAAGCTGACACTGTTTTTTAACTTTTTAATTGTGGCAGTTCTTGCAGGAGTAAGGTTGTATCTCATTGTGGATTTCATTTGCATTTCCTTTATTAGTGATGTTAGTGCCCTTTAAATAGAAACTTCAGTAGTTTCTTTGTTTCATTCTCCATATGAGACCACAACAAGACAGCTAAATTTCTATTTATTTTTATTTTGACACGAAGTCTCCCTCTTGCCCAGGCTGGAGTGCAGTGGCACGATCTTTGCTCACCGTAACCTCTGCCTCCCGGGTTCAAGCAGTTCTCTCGTCTCAGCCTCCAGAGTAGTTGGGACTATAGGTGCCTGCCACCATGCCCAGCGAATTTTTGTCTTTTTAGTAGAGACAGGGTTTCACCATATTGGTCAGGCTGGTCTCCAACTCCTGACCTTAGGCGATCCACCCACCTCAGCCTCCCAAAGTGCTGGGATTACAGGCGTGAGCCACTGCTCCCAGGTAAGGCCACAGCAAGACATCTAAGAACCCTCACCAGACACCAAATTTTTTGGTGAGATGATGTTAAATTCCCAGCCTCCAGAACTCTAATAATGTCTGTTGTTAATAACCCACCCAGTTTATGACATTGTTACAGCAGCCTGAATGGGCTAAAATGGTATGTGTGTAAATTACCTTCTTAGCACTGTTTGCTTGAATCTGTAAGTTTTTGGTATGTTATGTTTTTTTATTTCTTTTATCTCAAGATAATTTCTGACTTCCCTTGTGATTTCTTTTTTCATACACTGGCTAGTTAAGAGTATGTTGTTTAGGCCGGGCGCGGTGGCTCAAGCCTGTAATCCCAGCACTTTGGGAGGCCGAGGCGGGTGGATTATAAGGTCAAGAGATCAAGACCATCCTGGTCAACATGGTGAAACCCTGTCTCTACTAAAAATACAAAACATTAGCTGGGCGTGGTGGCGCGTGCCTGTAATCCCAGCTACTCAGGAGGCTGAGGCAGGCCAGGAGGCGGAGGTTGCGGTGAGCCGAGATCGTGTCATTGCACTCCAGCCTGGGTAACGATAGCAAAACTCCGTCTCAAAAAAAAAAAAAAAAAATAGCCAGGCATGGTGGCAGGCACCTGTTATCCCAGCTACTTGGGAGGCTGAGGCAGGAGAATCACTTGAACCTGGGAGGCAGAGGTTGCAGTGAGCCAAGATCACACCATTACACTCCAGCCTGTGGGACAAAGTGAGGCTCTGTCTCAAAAAAAAAAAAAAAAAAAAAAAAAAAAAAAGTGGGATATTAAAGTCTCCAGCTGTTTTTGTAGAACTGTATATTTCTTCTTTAAATTTTGTCAGTTTACTTGATGTATTTTAGGGCTGAAAAGTTTATAACATATGTGTTTATGATTATTGTTTCCTTGGTGAATTGGCCCTTCTATTAATATAATAAATTTCCTTCTTTATCTTTTGCAATTTTTTTTGACATAAAGTTTATTTTGTCTGATACTAGTATAACAACCCAAGCTCTCTTTTGGTTACTATTTTTGGGGAATATATTCTCCATCCTTTAACTTTCAACCTATTTGTGTCTTTAAATAAAACGAGTCTCTTGTAGACGGTGTATATTCGAATCATGTTTTATTATTCGTTTATCCAATTCCTGCCTTTGGATTAGTGAGTTTATTCCACTTACATTTAATTATTGACAAGGAAGGACTTCTGCCATTTTGCTATTTGTCTTTTTTGTGGCTTAATATTTTCTGACCCTCATTTCCTTTATACGTGCCGCCTTTTATTTATTTATTTTTTTTGTAGTGACACATTTGTTTCCCTCTGATTTCCTTTTGTTTATATTCTATAGATATTTTCTTCATAGTTACTATGAATATTACATGCAACATCCAAAGGTTCTAACGATCTAATTTGAATGAACACCTACTTCGGTTGCATATAAAAACTCAGCCAGGGCAACATGGTGAAACACCATTTCTACTAAAAATACAAAAATTAGCTGGGTGTGGTGGCATCTGCCTGTAATCTCAGCTACTCAGGAGGCTGAGGTAGAAGAATGACTTGAACCTGGGAGGTGGAGGTTGCAGTGAGCCAAGATCTCACCACTGTACTCCACCCTGGCAACAGAGCCAGCCTCCATCTAAAAAAAAAAAGAAAAAAAGCGTAGAGTTCAGCCTTCCATATATTGATACAATCTTGTGCCTGTCAACTCAGTCCATAAAGGCACTTACCTTGATCTAGCATCACAAGCGGAAAACATTATTACAGAAGGCAATTATAATCATAACTACAGGTTTAGAAACAATTTCTCATATACTACTTAAATCCTATTCCCATTGAAAGCTCTGGTTCTGAAGTGTATCTTCTTCACGGGACTTCCAGAGAGTTCAAAGCATGTCAGCACTAAACTAAGAATCAACCTGATACACAGAACAATTGGAAGTGAATCCAAACAGGGAGGTAATTCAGTGTTTTTAAAATGATTTTTCAGATAGCTCTTAAAACCATTTCATGTTCCACAAGAGATACTGCTTAGCGGTCAAGTGACTAGGTTGTGAAGCAAGAATCAAATTTAAATACCAACCGTAAGTGACTTTGAGCAAGTAGATACGCCTCTTTGAGCATAAGGGTTTTTTTTGTTTTGTTTTTTGTATTTTTACTTAAAATCAACTAATAAAAGTGCCATGTATGGTCTTCAACAAAACCATGTATGCAAATGTATGTAGCAACTTTACTCAAAGTAGCCAAAACCTGGAGGCAACCCAGATGCCTTTTAGTAGGTAAATAGTTAAACAAAAACTGAGCTACACCCACAACATGGAATACTGTTCTGCAATAAAAAGGATTGGGGCCGGGCATTGTGGCTCACGCTTATAATCCCAGCACTTTAGGAGGCCGAGACAGTTGGATCATGAGGTCAGGAGATCAAGACCAGCCTGGCCA